CCTTGCTGTTTTTCTGGTTCTTATTGGTGGTGATGTTTTACCTAATTCTGAGGCACAAAGTTTTTCATATAGAAGGTTTTTTTTAAATTTAATTTTAGGGGGCTTGTGGGATAGTTCAGTTGTTTGAGCACCTGCACTGGCAAACCCAGTCAGGTGCAGGGGACCATGGTTGGATCCCCAGACCTGCCCTTAGGGCAGACTGCACCAGCCAAAAAAAAGAAAGAAAGAAAGAAAGAAAGAAAGAAAGAAAGAAAGAAAGAAAGAATCCTACTCAACTCTGGGGCTGAGGATTTGACTCAGCAGTCTAGAACGCTTGCCTAGCAAGCTGGAAGCCCTGGGTTCGGTCCTCGGCACCAAAAACAACAACAAAAAAAAAACCTCCTCTAAAAATTTAATTTTAGGTATTAAATTTAGCCCTGCATTACACTTTGAGTTAGTTCTTATATCTAAAGTGAGGTTGAGATCAAAGGGAGTTTTATTTATTTTATTTCATTTTAACATGTGAATTTTTAATGCTCCTAACATCACTGGTTGAGCTGCTGCTTTTTCTCCCATGAAATGCTTTTGCCTTTCTGCCAATGATCAGGTGTTAGTATGGGTGTGGGGGTCTGTTTTTAGACACTGTTCTGTTCCATTGATCCATTTTTTTTAAATTTTTTATTTATTTATGTGTGTGTGTGTGTGTGTGTGTGTGGCCAGCTCAGCCCACCAGGGGGCGGGGCCAGGGGGCGGGGCTGGCTGGCATGTGGTGCTGGGGGATTGAACCGCGGTCCCTGTGCTTTGCTAAGCTTGTTCTAAGTAGGTGCTTTAGACCACTGAGCCATCTCACCAGCCCTCCATTGATCCATTTTTAAGAAGTCTTAATATAGTAGAAACAGCTTTGTCTACGGGAGCTTTACAGTCTTAGAGAAAGCCATGTTGGCCCTCCAACTCAGTTCTACTTTTATAGGATTGTTTTAGTTTATAGGTCCTTCGCATTTTCATACACATTTTAGGAATTTTATCTATTCTTACCCAAAATGAAAACAAAACAAAATTCATGCCAGTGTTTGGACTGAGATGGCTTTAAATGTTTGCAGATTACTTTGGGAAGAATTTACATGTTTCTGTTTATTTAGGGTTTCTTTAATTTATCTCAGTAGTATCCTAGGTTTTTATCCAGGTCTTAATAGTTTGGTAAATGTATTCCTAGTTCCTCTTTTTGATTATAATGCACATTTAATTTTTTTTTAAGTATAACATTCAATTTAATTATTTCTTCCTCAAGAGAGTTTCCTTCAGTCCGTTAAGACCCAGCTCCCCCTACATGGGCTTTGGTGGAGGTCGTGGGGCGGCACCAGCAGGTCTCAGTTGGGGTGGAGGAGTTTGGTCTTTGTGGGCTTCACGAGATTGATTTTGGATCGCTTTGCTGTGAAGGGCACAACACATAGTGCAGCTTCAGATACAGCTTGGGAAGCACATAATCGCCAAAGACACTCGCTTCAGAAATGTCCCTGACAGCGGCGGCCTCCACCATGTTCCAAATGACAAACTTCTTAATGGCCTTATCCTTGGATATGCACTGGGCGCAGTTCGTGCAGCAAATAGGCTGCACATGACTGCGGCCCTTTTTGGCACAACCCTTGTTCCTTCTTTTTCTTTTTTTGTCATCTTGGAAGAAGGACCCGAACGTGCACATTTAACTTTAATCTGACTGTTCATTACCAATAGAGAGAAATATTTTCCATAGTCATTTTGCATTCTACAGCTTTACTAAGCTCACTTATTCTAGTAGGGTTTTTTTCTTTTTGTATATTACGTCAGATGCCCTTGTGACTAAATGTAGTTTTCCTCCTTCCTCTCTGATCCAGATGCCTTTTATTTTATTTCCTGATTGTCTGCAGTGGCTGTGAGCTCCAGTGTTGAATGGAAGTGTGGAGAGGGAATCTGCCTGTCTAGTTTCTGATCTTAGAAACAGAGCACTTGGCCAGGCACGGCAGCACACACTTGTCATTGCAGCTACTCCAAGAATTCAGATGGATTGCAACTCAAGGCCAGACCCCAGAACTAAACAATATTTTGTCTCTGAAAGAGTTCAGTAAATTATAAAAAGAAAAGGAAGGGCAGGGAGATATGACTCAGTGATGGAGTGGTTGCCTAGGATGCATGAGGCCCTGGGCTCAAGCCCCACCCCTCTGCCAAAAATTTGTGGTGGTCCCGGGCAGTTTAGCAGCTTAGCAAGAATTTCTGTCACAATAAGAAAAACTGTTGAAATAAAACTCAGTGTGAAAGCCCTGGGTTCAATTCCCAGTATGGGAGATGGAAAGGGAGGAGGAGAGAGACAGGGAGGGAGGGAGGGAAGAAGGAAGAGAAGAACAATTATGCTTGTGCTTTACAAAGAGTATTTTTTAAATCGGGAATTGTTGCTAGATATTAGATGTTTTTCAAATGCTTTTTCTTTGCTGATTAAAATGATCATATGGTTTGTTTTATTTTTTTAATCATCAACTGATTTTCAAATGTTAAGCCAATCTTGCCCTACTAAGACAAACCCTACTTGGCCTTGATGTGTTTTCCCTCTCATAACTTTTCGGATCTAATGTGCCAAAAATTTGGTTGTAAATTCTTGCATCTATATTTCAAAGGCACACCGAGTCGCAGTTTTCTCTTACTGGTCACCTATTTGTCTTGGTTTTGTATCAGGTGCTCTGGGATGAGTCAAATGTTCTGTCGTGGGCCGGGGAGATAGCCCAGCGGACTAAAGCACCTGCTTAGGCAAGCTTAGGCAAGCACAGAGACCGGGGATCTGTCCCCAGCACCACATGCCACGCCAGCCCTGCCCCCATGACGGGCTGAGCTGGGCAGAATGTGGCGTGATGGTGCACACCTGTAATGCCAGAGCCGGGGAGGCTGAAAGCAGGAGGACCACCATGACTCCAAGCTGCGTAGTGAGACCCTGAAACAACCAAAGATATATATTTTTAAAAATGTGTCTTCCATTTTCTCAAAGGTGGTGTGGACTTGTCATACCAGCTTTCTTAAACATCTGGTAACATTTCCAGAGAACCCATCGAGCCCTGCAGTTTTTTGTTTGTTTGTTTTCTTGACTTTTTTATTTATTATTTTTCTATTTTTATTTCACTGATTTATGGGTTTAGAATTATTACTTATTAACTATTTTCTTCTGTTTGTTTTGAGTTTTGCTTTGGTTTTTCCTGTTCCCAAAGATAAACTGAGGTGATTAATCTGAGACCCTTGTAATTGTCTGAACAGATGTTTAATGTTATAGATTTTCCCATAAGTTCTGCCTTTGTGGCGGCCTTGGATTCTTGTATATTGTGCTTTTATTTTCATTCAGTTTAAACTAGTTTTACTTTCCTGTTTTCTTTCTTTTTTTTTATTTTTACTTTGACCCATGGTTTATTTAGAACTCTATTGCTCAGTTTCCAAATATTTGGACATTTTCTAAATAACTTTGTATTATTGTTTAATGCAACCTGAGCAGAGAAAGATATATTTTATAAGACTTACATATAAGCTTATTGAAATTTGTTTGTGGGGGCTGGGAAGATGGCTCAGTGGAATAAATGCTTCCCTGGCAAGCGCAAGGGCCTCAGTTCAATCCCTGGTTCCGCCAAAAAAAAAAAAAAAAGAAATTTGTTTGTGGCCCTAAATATAAGGTATGCACACTTGAAAAGAGGTGTATTCTTTTATTGGCATGGAGTTCTCATAGTCCCAAATCTTCTGTGTCCTTACTGATCTTCTGCTTGCTTGGTATCTCCGGTATTGAGAGAGATAGGTAAACCTGCCACTATAATGGAGGATTTATCTATTTCTTCTTGCAATTTCATCTATTTTTGGTTTTGAAACTCTTCTTAGGTATATAAACATTTGGGATGATTGTGTCTTCTTTATGAATTGGCCCCTGATTATTGTTTTTATCCTTGATAATATTTTTTTTATCCTTGGTAATATCCTGAAATATATATATTTACTCTGAGTTTGTTTTTGATTAGCTTCAGGTATTATTTTTCATCCTTTTACATTTAACCTAATTGTCTGTCTATGTTTAAATTCCTTGTAAGCTACATGTAGTTAGATTTTGATTTTCATATTCAACATGTCAATCTCTAACTCTTAATTAAGATGTATAGACCATTTACATTTAATGTAAATTTATGTCTTCTTACTATTCTGTATCTTTCCATCTGTTCTTTGTTCATCATTTCTTTTTCTAATTGGATTATTTATATGACTTCTTTTTTTTTCTTTTTTTGAGATGCTCTCACTCTGTAGTTCGGGCTAACTTTGAACTCACTATGTAGCCCAGGCTGTCCTCAAACTCATGGTGATCCTCCTGCCTCATCCTACTAAGTGCTGGGATTATAGGTGTGTACCACCATGCCCAGTTATGACTCTGTTTTTCTTTTCTTTCTTTCTTCTTCTTCTTCTTTTTTTTTTTTTTTTTTTTTTTTTTTTTT